GGGGGTCCTCATGGGTTGTCCTGGGTCTGTGGGTCGGGTGACCCAGGCCTAGCACTCACCCACCTGTCACCCACCCACTTGGGTGACCCAGGCCTAATCTTGACCCACCTGTCACCCACCCAGGGTGCCTGTCCTTGACCCGCCCTCAACCCACCCAGGTCACCTTATCAAGACCCGCACCTGGCCCAATGTCCTCGTGGGTGGGGTGGGTGCAGGTGGGTGCGGGTCTRGGTACCCGGTGCTCATCTCTGCTATGCTGGAGGCAGACCCGGCCTTTTGGAAGGCCCCCAGCGCAGCCTGCAGCTGCTGGACAACTGCTGCAACATCTGGAACAGCAGCTGAAACAGTCCCAGCAGGCGGTGTACCAGGCTGGGATCCTGTCTCAGAGGCTGATCCAGAACCCGCATAAGCAAAGGCCGCCTTTCCCTTTCTACCACCGCGAGGGAAGACGCCTCTCCTCCTGTCACTGGAGGGGGCCTGGACATGAAGCTTGGCTTCCATGTCCAGTGCTGCGCGTCCAAAAGATCTCCAGTCTTTGTGACCGGCGCTGTACAAAGCAACACAAAACTTTTCAGGCACAGCCCTGCAAAAGTTAGTCAGCAAATCATCAGCAAACATAACCAGTCCAGGGGTGGAAGTCAGCTGCTCAAATTCACCAAATAAGGCCTGCAGACTGCCACTGTAACGCTGTTGGCCCAGGCGTACTATCTTATCAGCAGCCTTGCGGACTCTCTCTTTGCCTGCAAACTGGTCTTCCAGGGCCTGCAAAAGTTTGTCAGCCCCCAGTGCCAGGGCCCAATCCTCCAAAGTCTGGTTCTGGGCGCTGGCTGTAGAGGTGGCCCATTTCTGGGCAGGCCCCTCCAGCAGCCCCACAACGGTGGCCACCTTTTGCTGCTCTGGGCACTGGAACCCCTTAGATAGGCCCGGGTTCCAGCTGTCCAGTCCCCCACATCAATCTTGGGGTCATCCCCCTTGAATTTGCTGGGGGCAGGGATCTTGGGACCTCGTGAGTCCCCAGCAACAACAGCAGCAAAGGTAGGAGGAGGCGTGACTTTGGCCTGGGAGGTGACAGGGGGAGAAAGTTTGTGCGAAGAATAAGGGGATCCAGGAGGTGGAGAAGGAGGTGGAGAAGGGGGCTGAGATGGCTTCTTGGGCCTTAGAGAGGGGACCACAGGGACCAGGGGACTGATGATATTGCCTGCTGTTAAATGAGCAGTCAGATTCTGGATAGCATCCAGGATCTTTGACTGCTGAGTTCCCAGGTCAGCCACTCTGGTCTCCAGCCTCTGGATCCTCTCGTCCCAGTTTGTAAAATGACTGGCTGTGAGCTTGTCTTGCAAGAGGACCAGCTCAGCCAGGTCCCTGGTACACTGGGACACTCTAGTATTTGCAACAGTCTTCTGGGCCTGCTGCAGCAGATGCTCTTTTCTGGAAGCATCTGTTGCAGCTTCCAGTTCTGCAGCCTCTTGTCTCTCAGCTTCTGCGAGCAACGCCTGTTGCTCTCGCAGTTTTTTTCTGAATCTCTCTCTTGCGCCGCTGCGCAGGGGTCAGGGGAGGGGGAGGAGGAGTTGAGGATGAAGGCTGTTCTTCAGCCTTAACCACTACCTCCACCTTCCCTGCACCTGTGTCAGCGTCGTCAGACATTTTCCCTCACTGAACAATACAATAAAGAGAATGAAACAGCAGGGGATGCAACGATTTACAGATCCCACAGACACTCAAATTTCGCTGCACTGTCAATTCACAAAGTAATGTGGGTTAGTGGGCACAAGCAGTCAGGGTTGGAATAAGACCACTGGGGTCAGTTGTCAGGTCGACAGGATGTCCAGTAAAATCATTCACTAATAATTTCCTATACCTGACACTGAACTTTCACTGAAGTTGCAACATGCAATTCTACAGCATTCCAGGGGTCACTAGCATTCCAGAGCCCATCAGACAGCAGAGAGAATTAGTAGTATTGATTAGGGTAGGCAAGAATTACTGAAACACAGCAACAGGTAGTAGCGATTTAGTATACTACTCCCTGACAGCACAAACTCCAATTTCGCCACTGTTGACATCAACAGAAATACCCCCAGATATGGCGAATTTCAGGATTGCACTGTAATGACCCAAATACAATGTTTATGGACCAGCGTTTTAGCAGGGATGCTAAAAATAGAATTGCGATTCACCCCAGACTGACAGACTTGAATTCTGACGGCTAGATTTTGAGTTATGACTGACCCTAGGTAGCCTAGACTATAAATAGATTCAGCGCAAAACTCAAATCCACAGTATCACTACTTTTCCAGCACAAAATTCACAGAATGAGCATACAGGGTGCAGCGCAATACTGTCAGGCATTCCTAGAACAACTTTGAGTCAGAACAGGTCAATAGATGAAGAGATATGAGTCAGGGTAGGGAGGAAGAAGGTGGATATGGTTGTCTTGAAGTCTGACAATTTCACGATTGTTACACTACTGACAGACAGACCATTAATCCTACTTCTACTGATGCTAAACTAATCGCTATTCAGGGATTCATATGGAACGAACTCACTTGAAGTACAACCCTCAGTGGATGATGAAGCTTTGGCTATGGCTGCCAAACCCTGGTCTTGCCAGTCCTTGCAGACAGTCTTCCATAGCTTCCCACGTACAGAATCTCCTGCAACTTGTTGATCTGCTCCAGTATGATGTGGCGATTCACCCCACACCCTCAGATTCAATGAATCTGGCTCAGTGGCGAGAGAATACTCTCCTGAAGGTATCTCGCCACTGCAAGGTATAAACCGCTGATGCTAAATTTAGCCCTGGGTAGGGTTAATTTAGCAGGAGGTGATCCTGTGATCCATCCTCCCTCAGCGCTATGCTGGGATTGAAGCCGCCACCCGGTAATCACTGGATTAGGGTAAATTTCTCCACCCTAGACCCAGTCATCAGCTGAGGTCAGGAGGGTGGATGGCGAAATAACCCTCTTCTCACCACTTCCTGTCAGGCACACAGACAGGCTCAGGGTGCCTAATCAATCACAAACTGATGTTCTTGCAATCACCGCTTGTATCCCTTCTTCCTTGCTGGATAGTCACTGGAGATGAAAAACCACCATGGACCTTCTCGCCAGTTAGAGCCAGATGAAGAAGGTGCCCCTGTTGCGCTCAACCCTCTGAGCTCCAATTCTAAACTCCGCTCCGATACCAACTGTTATGAACTTGGTTGTTTGATAATTTGGTTGCCACTCACACACAGGAGAACTCACACACGGCCGTACATGCACGAGACAAAGGGGAGGAGGAGACAGAGTCCACCTGCACACAGACCAGAGATAAGCAGCGGAACAACAACCATGCACAGATGGGGAGAATACACACAYAGTGTTCTCTCTCYCTGATGAACTCCCAACAACCAATCACAATTGACACTGCGAAGATCACAATTGGAAAGTAACCCAGACGAAGAGCCAACTCAACTCAGTTAACCGCAATTATCGTTACAGAGTTCTACCCAGTGTCTCGCCACCCAAGTACCACACACTCCACTCACTACCACACTCTCAGAGTCTGGCGCTGGACCAAAATAGCCTCCCAGAGGCCAGCGCCATACACCCAGATGCAGATCATGAACAGCGAAGTAGTCCTCAGTGCCGATGAGTCACTCTGACGATGAAGGAGGTAGCTATGGCTGCCTGGCTGCTACCGCAGCAATAGTACCCACATGTACTCAGTGAAGACCCCCGATATAGTCCTGCCAGCGCAGATATCCCCAGGGGATAGATGCGCTGAGTACAGCCCCAGCTATGGCTGTCTCAGATGGCTGGCTATGGCTGCTCCACTGCGCTGATGTCTCAGATGCCGCTGTAGGCATTCAGCGCTGCTCACTTGGTTGGCCGCAAAACGCTACCTGCGAAAAAATGAAATGCCAAAAGTCCTGAACCCATTTTCCTCCAGGGCTTATAGACTCTCTACTCTAGCCTAGACCTAGACCGGACTGACTGGACCTACTGGTACCGCTGCTGTTTCGGCCTCTCGGCCTCTACCRGACCCGGCTATAGGCTATAAGACCGTATAGCAGTATAGGCCGCTTCGGGCCTGTCYGTCCTAGGGTAGCCCGGGCCTGCTATAGGCAGTTAGGGTAGCTGTAGGAACTCGGTTAGTACCAGGTCTGTATTTTCAGAAATTACAGATCTGTCCCTCACGAATTTCCGCACAGGCGGATCCCTCGGTTAGCCCTCAGCCAAACAAAATTACAAAACTAACCCTACCGGTTAGTATACAGCCTCACAGTCAATCTCGGCAGCAGAAATCAGCAAGTCATTGCAAAATGTACAAAATGAGAATGAATCTTTCACTAGAACATGGAAAGATGCACCACCATCATTTTTGCCTTTTGTGCTTTTGGTGAGTAGTGCGGCAATACCGAGGGCCTAGTTGCACTACTCGCCATCTGCCAAGTTTGGCGAGTAGGTGCATGGTCGAACGTACTCGCCAACCTTGTTGCGAGGAAACCTGTCAGAACTTTTGCCCAGTTTCCTTTTTCAATTCGCCACAGAGTGCGGCGAGTTCCCGACTGTCTACTGCTATTTTGTGGAGGATCATCCTCGTGACCTTTTCTGTAGAAGAAATATAGTAGCGCATAAGTGCAACCAGGCATCCAGTTCGACACAATTCTAGCTTTTTTTAACTCTCCACACATCCGCCGTGAATTGTGGCGGATGACGAGTAGTGCAACTAGGCTCTGACACTGGGACTTTTTCCACTTCTTCATTGCACCCAGGTGCATCCAGGCTGGCCCGGAAAGCGATCATAGGGCGTCGCTCCACCACCCTCCAAATGTGGAGAATGAGACTGAATCTTGCGCTAGAACATGGAAAGATACACCGCCATATTTTTTATCTTTTGAGCAAATGTGGAAAATGAGACTGAATTTTGTGCTCGAATATGGAAAGATACACCGCCATTTTTTTTATCTTTTGTGCATCTGGTGAGTAGTGGAGCGAGGCCCATATACATCCAGAAACGTCCTGGTGTGAGTATGCCCTAGGATCATCCATATGCCAAGCTTGGTCTTTTTCTTGCATGTTCGTGGATGAAAATAAGCCCTATCTGCTATGGAAAAGACAAGAGACAAGTTTCAGGTGCGAATCTGACTGTAAAATTGGGCAAGAAAAAAAAAGGAAATCTGAGTGCATATTTATGCAAAACTATTCCCCCCCACCATTGCTGTTTTCAAAAAAAAAAAAGAGGCTAATTCTTTCAAGCCCAACCAATTCAATTACCTGTCGAATCTGGACAGGACTGCATTTCAGGACTTTTTTTATTGGCATTATAGTGCTACGGGGAACCCCGTAGCAGCCACATACGTGCTCAAGCCTCCAACGAGGGAACATGCAGGAGCTGCACCCACCAGCAGGTGTGATACCTGCTATAGCAGGTGGGCGACGCCGGCCAGGGGTCAGCCGGTAGCATCAGGACGGAGCTTCTTCGATGGGCCAGTCACTGTGCCTCCCCTCCGGTCCCCTCCCCCTATGAACATCAGCAGTCTCTGCTCAATGCCGCTCGGGGGGACCAACGGCATATCTCTAGGTGGTGGGCGCCAAGCTTGCCCAGGAAGCCCCTTGCTTTTAAACAGACAGTGCAGCGGTTGAAACAAAACAAAACAAGTCCCGCAGTGGCCGCAACATGATGGGAAACTTTATTCCAATCCTTGGGCTATTCTCACTTACAGTGCGCATTTCGCTTTCCTCCACTGTAATTCGCTGAGACCGTGAATGATTCCCCTTCAACTGTCTGTGCTGTCCTGATTGTACAGAGCTGGCCAACCGACCCATAGCTGCATGTGCCATATGGGATGATGGTTCCAGTAAGAAGGGTCCAGCAGACCAACTGGAGTAGCTCAGTTGGTACACCCATGAATTATTGAAATGCCGCCCGGAGTTCGAATCCAGATGCATATGAGGGACGCTGAGCCCGGTTCTCAGCATGTTCAGTTCGGTCACTCCGGGTAGCCTGTGAGGACCCCGGCCTCGATCTTCTTATTTGTAATATCAGCCTTGGGCACTGGGCCCACTTTTTAAAAAAAAAAAAAAAAAAAAAAAAAAAAGATGAACAGAAAACTGAGAAAAGATAATGCTGAGCCACCTAGGGCTGGGCAGGTCAAAGATGATATCTCAAAGCCATCGCCATTGAAAAAGAAAACCGAGAAGGGTTGATCAGAGACTGTGGTCCTAGTAGTAAGAAGGAACCATCAGAGACTGTCTGTGGTCCTAATAAGAAGGGACCATGAGAGGCTGCTGTTCTAAGTAAGCTACAAGCACCACCATCACAGACTTGTCAGAGATGGTGGGAACCATTTTCGACAGCCGTTGAACATTTGTCTATCAGTCATTCAAATGGATGTAAAGTGAGGTAATTGCAGCCGTATCGTGGCCAAAATCACAGAGAATGCACTGCAGGCTTTTGATTTTGCGGCTGTATGCTGACCAGAAAATAGAGAGAATACAGCCTTTTATAATATCCCACGGCGACATCGGAAAAAGAAGTCTGATCATCAGCGTCAAGTTTCCTGTCTGCTTGGCTTCGCTCTTCCCAGCAAATTCATCAGCCTGTTTCCTCACATACAGTCTGCTGCTTCTCTCTCTCTCTCTCTCTCTCTCTCTCTCTCTCTCTCTCTCTCTCAAAATTTGGACCATTTCTCGATTCATTCGTGTCATCCTTGCGGAGGGGCAATGAGGATCTTCTCTCTATCATTCCAATTTTAACGGATGGCGAAAAGGACTGTCTGCTGCTTATTTTATTCTTCTCAGTAGCGATTCCTTTGCCAACTGCAGCCCCTTCCCTGCTGTCCAATGAGTTCGTCAACAGTGTCAAATGTAAGAACTTGTACCGTAAGGTCCATAACAGATGTCCTCCAGCGCATCCATCAAAATTGGAATGATACAGAGAAGATTAGCATGACCCTTCACAAGGATGGCAGACATAAATCGAGGAATAGTCTGATTTGAAGTGATTTCTTTTTTAAACGTCCGTGACACATCTCCCGGAGACTATACTCTGACAGTGATGAATGAGAAAATCCACACAGCGTATAAGACTTCTGTTTACCAGGGGCCCTCTTCTTCTCGACAAGGACTTCGCCTGCCTGCCAGATACAAGACAATCTGCAGGGGGGCTGCACATTTTCTTTTTCTTTTGCCTGGGGCCGCCAGTCATTGAGGTCCGGTAGCAATGCGAATCTGAAAGTTGCAGCTGTATAGAAATCACCGGAAACCTTTGCCTGTTAAAGGTCCTGGTGGTTTAAGAATGACTGTTGAGGCAGCGACGAGCCCGATCAGCAGTCCAGTTGAGGAGATCTTCGATGGTCCAGATCAATGTGTTGATATGTTGTCATAAACGGTGCTTCTGCTTAGTATGCTCATGCCTGATTGTGATGCTGCAGAGAAGTGAGCTTGCTGGGTGGATGGAGAAGATTGAGCATATTGCAATCGGTCACACAGTCATCTGTTCTGGCCAATATGCGCCCCCCCCCCCCCCCCCCCTCCCCAAGGAGACTACGGAAACCATAGCCCCCCCTCCCCCAACTCCCCCTTAAGGAGACTCTGGGATTGATGCTGGCCACCGGTACGTTTGGCCAACCGCCCAAAAAAGAACGAACCGGCTTGGGCCTTCTTTTGGCTACTGTCGCCAGCTATTTTGCTCAGGTAGCCCAACCCCCAAAATTTGCAGTGGGTTAATGGCCACGTCGGATAAAATGGCTGGGCGAGGTACTGGTGGTTTAAGGGAATACTGGGAGCAATGGTTTCCCTCTAGCCGTTGCCTTGGTGGCTCTGACATATTGAGCAACTGCAAATTTTCCACTCTTTCCCAAAAGTCCCACCAACCAGAACGTCCAAGTCAAAATTGGTGTTCATTCCCTTTGCCCTGTGATGCATGCACACATCCACAGCCACGCACCCGCCCACCCACCCACCCACTACCGGTTTCCTTGCAACCGTGCCAACCCCCCTGAAGGCACATATGCATTACCCGTCAACACTTTGCACACACACACACACACACACACACACACACACACACACACACACACACACACACATGTGCGCGCGCACATGAACACACACAAACACATACACATGCACACGTACGCACATTTACAAGCTCCTGATGCCTTGAAGCCATTGAGCACAAACATCTGTAGCCACTTCCATCAGGTGATCGACAATTTTCTCCTCCACAGCAAGATCATCAGCCTGTGTACCATCTACATCATCACCACAACTACTTACTACCCCAAACCCATTTTGCATGAGTGACATTTCTTGCATGGAAATAGTAAGTGGTTTGCCTTTTCTAAGTGCAATGCGATTGCATCTCGGCAACATGTGCACAGAACAGGGTCGGGTGTGCATGGGAAAGAGGGAAGGTGGAGGAATAAAGATGGGCAATTGCTAGGGGGGATAATGCACATGCGGATCTAATTTGGCGGAGAGATGTGCAGCAAAGGACAGGCTTCACCAGCGATGAAAGAACTGTGTAGCGAGTGCATTTTTTTCCTTCTGTAGATGAAGAATGGAAGAGATATCTAGAACAGCGAGCTCGCCACTGCCAGTGGGAACGCAAGCAGGAAAAGGTAGAATTGAAGTCCCCTTCCTAGAGCCAAGCCTGCGGCTCCATTCTTTGTCTTATTTCCCTTAGCACCAGGGGATTGGACATTATCCAAACCCGAGTCGCTATCTGTCGGGCTTGGTTTGGGTGGTGGTGACTGCAGCTGGCCGCCTGAAGGAACCCCGCTGCTGGTTGGAGGTGGCGTGTCTGACACAGGGGTACCAGGAGAAGAACTTCCGCTCTCAGAAGGGGCGCTCAGTGGTCGCATATCAGTAGGGGTTGTGGTCAGGTCCATCATATAAATACCTCTGCATCATAAGAAGAAAACACCGAGAAAAAATTAGAACAGTCAAATAAATAGAATAGAATCAATAGACAGGTATGAGAAAAGGACAAGCGCTCTCAAGCAGTCAATAAAACGATTTCAATGAGTGGCGATGTGCTAATTTGGTAACTCCTGGATCCTGAAAGAAATGGGGGGCGACAAGCCTCAGAAAAGCCCTACTGGGCCCTGTTTCAGCGAGAAAGGCAGCCCTAAGTGAAGGCGGGCCTGACAAGCGACGTGAGGCCTGTTTGTGTTTGACGCAGCTGGGGGAAATTCAGGCAGTTGCGCAGCGTCAGTTGGTTGAGTGAGCCCAGGCCCTGCCTGCCTTTTTCCAAATGTATCTGAGGCAGGCCCTGGGCCAGACACAGGGCATGGACTGAAGACAGGCCGCTGGCAGTTGGACACGGGTAACCACCCCAGGCCCTTTGGAAGATTCCCTGGGACAGGGGCTCAGCCACTTGGGGCCTACCGGAAGCTTCCGTGGGGAGGCCCAGGCCAGCCAGGCAGCCCACGGCTGGCAGCCACTTTCCATAAAGGAAAGGGCCTGGCCGCTGGCCAGACATTCGGGCACTCGTTGCTTATGCGCAAGTGCTGCTGCGCCAGCTGCTGAAGCGAGTGCCTACGCTCTCACGGGCGAGCAGGGAAGAAGGAAGCCATAGCCGAGCTGGTCTGCGCATTGCTGGATGGGGCGCATGGTGGTCCTTGGGTGCATGTGGCATCTGTGTGGAGGATCGAGGTTGTGAGTGAAGCGAGGGACATACCTGGTGCTTGATGCGAACGGCATTGGCCGCGATCTGCTCGTACTTCGTGAAGCTGTTGACGTCACCAGCGGCATTGTAGATAGGCTAGATAGGATCTGCCATTTGTAGTCGGGGCGCTGAGAGCCAGATAGGGATTTGACATTGGTCCATTGTTGATGGTGATGAGACTATTCCAACATTGTCACTTGTGCGAGGATCACGGTCCTCGGTAGGCCTATGGGGCCCTGTTTACAGCATTGCCGGCCCTAAGTGAAGGCGGAGGTGCCCCGGGCAACAAAGACATTTCCACGGCCTTCCGGGCTTTTCCAAAGAATGCAGGCCCTGGGCGTGATTCACAGCCTCATACAGAGACAGTTGGGCGCCCAACCGAACGAGGCCCAGCAGCCCAGTAGCTGCTGTACACAGGCAGCATCCTGGGGCCTTCCGGAAGCTTCTGGGCCCAGGCCAGGGCAGCCAGGCTGCGCGAGCAGGCCAGCTCTTTCCATAAAGGAAAGAGGTCACCCCTGGCAGCCTCATTCGTCACTTGCTGGCTGGCAGCAGCGCTGCTGGAGTGATAGCTCGCGGGCTGACTGCTGGCATTGGGAGCAAGAGGCTGCGCACGTGCGGTCATGTGGTGAAGCAGGGCGCTGCTGAGGGCAGCGCCATAGCCAGCCTTCATAGCAGGCTGGGCTTGGATATACAGTGAGGCACAGGTGTGGTCTTCGGGTGTAAGAGAGGACAGACGTGGGAGTAAAGACAGGGGATATGTTACATGCTGTACAGGCCCCAACCTGTTTCCCTACAGGGAAACTTCCAGGCTCTTGCCTGGAAGCTTCCTTCTGACAGGGCCTACAGGCCCCAGCCTGTTTCCCTACAGGGAAACTTCCAGGCTCTTGCCTGGAAGCTTCCGCAGGGTCTAGGCCAGGGAGGCATTGGCAAGAGCGGCCTCCTACGCATAGGGCATTGGCACGGCCAGCCTCCGGCACGGGCCAGCACTATAAAGGACTGGCCCGCCCTGCAGGAAATAGGAGCAGTTGGGCAGTTGTAGTCTTCAGGATTCGGGAGCAGCACTCTGGAGGGAGCGCTGCATTATAGTAGTAGTAGCGTTATCTTGTAGTCTTCAGCGCTGGGCGCAGTAGGTAGCTGTAGTCTCCAGCGCTGGGCGCCATAGCTAGGATAGTGGTAGAGAGAGAGAGAGAGAGCTTGGGCGGAGGCCAGGARTACCTACCTGCAGCGCCGTTGCTCCAGCTTCGTCTTCGAGGTACCTGCAGCACAGCGCCACATCACAGGTTAGTACCTGGTTCGTAACAGTGAGAGACAGAGGGTTCTTCTTCCTCTTCTTCTCAGTCCACCATCTCCTCCTCTCCCTCTCAACCCCTGACTTCACTGCATTTGCAGACTGCGAGAGAAGAGATACCGGGGTTGGTGATATCGGATCCAGACTCGACTTTTGGGGACTTCAGACATGGCAACGAGGGGTTATTTGGGAT